TTCAGAATTATTACTATTATTATTATTATAAATATTATTATTATTATTATTATTATTATTATTATTATTATTGTTATTGTTATTATTCACATAGCTTGTCTGTAAACTATGGCTGTGTGTAATGCTGCTCTATCTGAAAGCTGGTGCTGGGTATTTACTGTTGAATATAGAGCCTATTTACTGCCAAAATGCACATGAAAATCACCTTTAATTAATCGTACAGCCCTACTACAGTGCTCAGCATAAATGAATACACCTCTTATCAATCTCTCTTTTAAATTATCATGTTTTATATTATGTGATTCTATACAATACAATATGATACAATAATATATTTCTGTATATAAGGGGTGCCTGAAATCCTGCACCTGGAGATCTACCTTCCTGCATAGTTCAGCTCCAACCCTTATCAAACACAACTAAACAAACTAGCTCAGGCCTGAAGGTGCACATGCTAATTAAATATAGGTGTGTTTTATCAAGGTTGCAGCTGAACTCTGCAGGAAGGTAGATGATTGTACACCCCTGCTGAATATACAGGTCTTAATTTGTGCCGGAACACACACCTCTCCATCCTCGGGTAACATGCTTGTAATGTAATGTAATGTAATGTAATGTAATGCAATGAAATGTAATGTGTATTTATATAGCGCAGGGGTGGCCAACCCTGTTCCTGGAGAGCCAATTTCCTGCAGATTTTACTTGCAACCCATATCAAACACACCTGCCTGTAATTATCACGGGGTGTTCAGGTCCTAATTAATTTGTTTCAGGTGTGTTTGATATGGGTCGCAACTAAAATCTGCAGGAAGGTGGCTCTCCAGGAACAGGGTTGGCCACCCCTGATATAGCGCATTTATTGTGTATGGCCATACACCCAAAGCTCTTTACAATCATGAGGGGGGTCTCTCCACAACATGCCGGTGTTACGGTGTAACTGGTGACAGTGGTAACTGGTGTCCCTTTCCAGATGTAAGGTATTTACGTTTCCAGATTGGCAGATTCATCACTTTTTCACAGCAACAAAACATGCCCATATCAAATAAAGATTCTTATTACTTGGTGTCAGTCTCATTGTGAGCATTATTGATTTTAATATCTGTGTAGAAAAACAGTATATAAACAAAATTCATCTAAAAAAATAATTATAATTTACATGTCATCAACGTGATTCAAACTTGTGTAGTCAAAATGTTCAGCACACGCAGCAATCAACTTATCTAACTGAGCTATTCAGAACTATATAGAACAAATATATAGCAGAGCTATTCTATCAGCGGGAGAGTTTGTAGAAATTTGTTAACGCGAGTACATGTAATTAACATGTAAACATGTTAACATGAGTCGATGGAAACAGGTTAACACGAGTCCACAACCACAGCAAAGCATATTTGACTCATAAAGATATTAAAACAGATGATTTCACATGTAGTCCTGAACAGCTCAGTTAGATAGCTCAACTGATACATGTGCTGAACTTTTTAACTACACGAGTTTGAATCCCGTTGATGACATGTAAATTATAATTATTATTTTTTTATTAATTTTGTTTATATACTGTTCTGCTACACAGATATTAAAATCAATAATATGTACAATGACACTGACACCAAGTAATAAGAATCTTGACTTGGTATGGGCATGTTTTGTTGCTGTGAAAAAGTGTTGAATCTGCCAATCTGCAAAGGTAAATAGCTTAAATCTGGAAAGGGACACCAGTTAACACGGTCACCAGTTAAACCGTAACACCGGATCTGTAACCCTGATCTGTTCCAGGACCTCGCAATTCTCAAATTATAAAAATTAAGCACTGTATATATATATATATATATATTAGGGATGTAACGGTATTGTAAATACCGTCATACCGCAATATTAATTTTTTTCGATATTACCGAAGTCGCATGACTCGGTAAAACTATAGGTCTTCTGAGAAAATTTGCTCAGGCGAATGGAGCGAACGGGACGTAGCTGAAACTACATTTCCCATCAGCCCAGGCGTGGCCATAATCCTTTGCGGTCTGTTGTCGCTACAGATCCAGTAATGCGGAAATGGAGTGTGCTGCTAGTAGCGGAGATGAAAAAAAGATGGAAATGATCGAACCTAAAGCGGGTGTTGTCGCCGCGCGCGTTCTGATCAGCTGTGTTGTGGCGCGCGTATTGTAAAGCGCCGAGGGGGGGTTGAGCGCGCATATTCAAGAGAGGTGTTGTCGCGCGCCTACTGAAGGGCTGGATTGGACGGAGGTTGTGTCGCGTCGCGGGGGCACTTTTGATCGTTTTGGAAGGGCATTTTCTATCCAAGACTAAAAAGGGCATGCGCACTGCACAGGTTGAGCCCTATGTGTGCACGTGCCTGCAAGTTGGGGAATACGACTAATAACAGTCATGGGGACTGCAGAAACACAGCACACTGTTCAGATTGATGCAGACATTGACTTGTACCGCAAAGAGACCTCTATCTCACTCATGGTTTGTCTTCTCAAGTGGGGGAAAGACAATGCACAACGTTACCCCACTGCTGTCAACCTGGGCCAAGTCATATCTCTCTTGTCCCAGAAACCTCAGTCCCAAATGAGAGGGTTTTTTTCTGTTGCAGGGGACATTGTAAATACCCAGAGATACCAGCTTTTACCAGATTATAATTATATGATAATTTTCCTTTAAACCCATCTCTATCTAAGTGAGTGAGTGATTAAATGTTGAATGTGGTGAGTTTTCAACAATACTACATTGAAACTTTATTTTTTTACATGGTTTAATAATTTTTTGTTATTAAAATTGAAGTTAGTGTTTCAAAGCTTACAGATAGATGGTTAATTTGTATGTCATTGACACTTTTGGCACTTTTTTGGAGTATTTTCAAAAGTTTTTTTTTCCTGTAAATGATTCAATAAATACCGTACCGTGACATTCATACCGAGGTATTACCGAACCGTGAAATTCTGATACCGTTACATCCCTAATATATATATATATATATATATATATATATATATATATATATATATATATATATATATATATATATATATATATATATATATATATATATATATATATATATATATATATATATATATATATATATATATATATATATATATATATATATATATATATATATATATATATATATATATATATATATATATATATATATATATATATATATATATATATATATATATATATATATATATATATATATATATATATATATATATATATATATATATATATATATATATATATATATATATATATATATATATATATATATATATATATATATATATATATATATATATATATATATATATATATATATATATATATATATATATATATATATATATATATATATATATATATATATATATATATATATATATATATATATATATATATATATATATATATATATATATATATATATATATATATATATATATATATATATATATATATATATATATATATATATATATATATATATATATATATATATATATATATATATATATATATATATATATATATATATATATATATATATATATATATATATATATATATATATATATATATATATATATATATATATATATATATATATATATATATATATATATATATATATATATATATATATATATATATATATATACATATATATATATATATATATATATATATAT